ATTCGTTCCAAGAAGACAAAATGCAAGTGAGAAATTTACGATAGTAGATGGAGGGAAAAACGTGGAAGGAGAAGAGGCAGAATGAACAAAGAGAGTAAAGGATTTGAAGGGCTGAAAGGAGAGAAAAGGAAAAAGAGATGCTAACAAGGTGTGCTGGATGGCAGTGAAGAAGAGAAAGAAAAAAAAAAGGAAAAGGAAGAGAAAGAAAATAATGAAAAGATAGATAGGTAGATAGATAGATAGATAGTGGCAGAGGGAAGGGGAAAGAAAGAAAGGGACAGAGGAAAGGAGATAGATAGATAGATAGATAGATAGATAGATAGATAGTGGCAGAGAGAAGGGGAAAGAAAGAAAGGGACAGGGGAAAGGAGATAGATAGATAGATAGATAGATAGATAGATAGATAGATAGATAGATAGATAGTGGCAGAGGGAAGGGGAAAGAAAGAAAGGGACAGGGGAAAGGAGATAGATAGATAGATAGATAGATAGATAGATAGATAGATAGATAGATAGATTCGTATGAATAGAATGTGTATTCTTTGGTTTAGATTGCTTTGGTTTATTTTGTTTTACGGCATATCAACCTCAATGGTTTTTTTTAATGCCGACAACATTTTTAGGATAGATTCGTATGAATATAATATGTATTCTTTGGTTTAGATTGGTTTGTTTTATTTTGTTTAACGGTATATCAACCTCAATGGGTTATTCAATGCTGACAACAATTTTTATTGCTGGTAATATTTTGTTTTGTCAAAAATCTGTTTCTGGTAATATATTTCCTTCGAAATTGTATTGCTAGTAATATTTTTTTTCAAAAAGATATTGCTGGTAATAGTTAACTATTTGCTCATAGCTGGGACCCTAACAGGTGCTACCACCCCGGATCATGGTGGACCTGGTAACACAAGCAATTTTCCTCGCTCTTCAAAACCTCCTGATCAGAGGCCTTGCTGCTGGGCGTAGTTTAACGTCTTGCCCAGGACGCGGGTGTAGTTTGACGTCTTACCCAGGACGGGAACATAAGAAAAAGAATGAAAAATGGTGGAAAAGTTACAAAAATAGGAAGAATAAATATAAGATAAAAAAATGTTGCGACTGACTCTTCTTTACCGTAACACACTTTGAGAGTCTCGGATATTTCAAGATAAAGTGTAAAAATGGCTCCTTCTGGTGTGATGTCCACATAAATGGCTGGTTACGACAACTGAAAATGCAGGCGACTAATTATCACTGACTGCCGACAGATAATGTCTATCGCTTAAATTTAGAAAGCAAAGAGCCCAAATAAGAATGTCTTTTATGTCAGAATGTTCTTCGGTACACACGCACTTTTTTCAGTTGTCAAAATACCACTGACCAGAAGCCGTCTATAATAATAATTTTCCCGGTGAGACATCGTTGTTTCTGGCTCAGAAAATGAAAGGAAAATGCGAATTTTATTTACAAATCATTTCCGTATATTTATTTCAGTATATTTTAACTTTTATTTACCTATTATTAAATAGTTTGTCATTTAAGGGCTTATCAACATTTTGTGGTCTATTTAAAGAGAAGCATATTTTGTTGGATGGGGGTGTTGTAAGGCTATTTTTCTTTTTTCTTTTTCTTTTTTTTTTTTTTGCAAGTAAACACCGTCCTGGGTATGACGATAAACTACATCCGCGTCCTGGGTAAGACGATAAACTACATCCGCGTCCTGGGTAAGACGATAAAATACATATAACAGCAAGGCCTCTGATCAGGAGGTGATGAGTAGCGTGAAACCACCTCTTAATTGCAGGTGTTCCAAGGTCCACCCTGACCCGGGGTGGTAGTACCTTTTAGGGTCCCAGCTATGGGCAAATAATTAACCCCCAAACTGGGGTCATAAAACTATGAAAGTGTAAAAAATAGATTTTATTAACAGAAATACTTTTTTTTTTTAATTATTGCCAGCAATACATTTTTGAAGAAAAAAATATTACCAAAAATAGATTTATGAGGGAATTAAATATTACCACTAAAAAAATTTTGTTGGCATTAAATAACCCATTGAGGTTGATATGCCGTAAAACAAAAAAACAAACCAAATCTTTGCAAGTGAACATGGCATTATCATTTTTTTGGAGATAAAAACGACTTTTTCTGTGTGGTGTAATTTATAACGACTTCGAACGAGTTCGAATTCCATTTGGATTTGTTACATCCACTTACGCACAAATACCCTTCGGTAAGGGGTGTGAGTCCCTCTCTTCTCCTATCTCCCCCCGCCATCTATGGGCTACATATCATTACAGATAAAGGTCCTATAGCCATGGTTGAAAACACGTCTACTGCAGAAGAAACGGCAACCTACTGCGGGAAACTGTCTGTCTAGAGAGTCATGAATCGAAAGAGGAATTGTGTGTGTCACGTATGGCACTTGATTTTAATGAATTTTCCAGATACATGTCCTACTATTTAATACATAAATAGGAAGGGATGAAATCATGTCTTTCCCATGAGTCTTTGAGCGTAAATAAATGTAACGTT